AGGCTGAGAGGATGGAGCCCACCTAGTGTCCAGCTTGATGAATCTATTTCTGCCTCTTGGTCTCTTTCTTTCTTTAATTTCTTATTCCCCAGCTCCTCCACTCAGGAACCTGACTGTTTCCTTTTCCGTGATGGAGATGGACGCGGAAAACAGAGAAACAAGCCCCCCCCACCCCCCACCCCCCTGCACTAAACATTGCTCATTAATAGACTACGGACCCAGACTTGACCACTTTATCCTAGAAAGGTAAAAGTAATAAATCCAGGTAAAAGTAATATTTATTGTATACACTACTATTAGCACTTTATGTTTTTACTCACTTAAATCTCATACAAGATTATAAGGTACCACTTTTTATCCTAATTTTACAGAAAGGGAAACTAAGTAAAAAAGAAGTAATAAGTAAGAGTCAGGGTCGTAAGTTAGGGCCATGATTAGGATTCAAAAGCACACTACTCAAGACAAGCACTGACAATCCTTACTGTATGCTCTGGCCCCCATTCAATCTGGCCTCAAAGAGTGATATAAATACTATGTAAACTATTGCCTACATAAAAAAATATTTAAAACTACAATTAAAATGCACAATTATTGAAGTATGTATAAAAGATCTAATAGTCTCATTCTTTCCAAAAAAAAGGCTAATATTCTTTATGTCTGTATTCTTCCAAAATGTCCTTTAGTTAACCATAAAGACATCAATTAATTTCCTATCAAACAGCATTAACAGAGCCATCTACATATTTCTGGAAAACTTTTTCTATAATTTTTCCAGATGACAGAAAAATACTTTCATGAGATTTTAAAGGAAAGAGCTAGTAATTTAAGACTTTTTGGTAAAGAAATCCATGAATCAAAAACCTGGTCAACTTTATCACTTCTGAGGCCTGCTGAGTCCCATTTAACAGTAAAAAGGTTGCTAAAAAGTGTACTTTGTATTAAAGCAAACTTTCATGAGAAAATGCAGCAAAAAGTCATCCTATAAAATAAAAGGCTAATATGCAAATAGACCAAATTTTAGAACAACCAAACAACTGAACCATCAGTCACTATGATGTGTGCTGACCACGAGGGCATGTGTGTAGAACATGGTGGGCGTTGGTTGTGACAGATGGTGGAGCAGGTGAACGGGGAACCAGACCAAGGTGGGGCACCGGTTGCTGTCATCGGGGCAAGCCTCTGGTGATTACTGAAAATTCTTTGCTCCCGCCCAGCACTCGCACCTGCTGTCGGTGACCGACGCCAATCCCAATCACTCAGCGCCATCAGCGGGTGTGAGGGGCAACTGCTGGCCCTAATCACCCAAGGGCTTCTTCACCTCCTCCTGCTCCTGAGGGGCGAACAGGGCAGCAGCCACTGCTTACTCGCTGACGGCGCCAACCCCACTTGCACCTGCTGCTGGCACTGGCCCCAATCGCTCTGCACCATCAGCGGATGTGAGCAGGGCCAGCGCCATCAGCACGTGGGAGTGGTGGCAGCAGAAGCAGGGCTCCTAGCAGACAGAGGACTGGGGCTGAGGTGGGAGGGACTCGGTGGGGTCACAGAGGATGGGCTGAGACCTGCCCTTGTGCCTACTGCAGCCTCACGGCCCACAGTTCCTTTCAGGGTGCATGAATTTATGCACTGGGCCCCTAGTGTGTTTATAAAAGATCAGAAAGTTAACCAAAACCTTGTTACTACTGACATGCTGGACTGGGCTGATAGTTCTATCAAGTTAGTATTGTATTAAAAGTTTATCTCAAAAAGACTTATTCACTTTGTATAAATGGGCCACGATAGGTCATTTTCTAATTTTTCAGTACCACCAAAAAGATTTGCACAAACTTAGTTATACTAAATATTCCATACAATAGGAAAAATAAACAAATAGGGGGAAAAAGCACACCCAATTTCGCATTTATAGCTGAATACATGGAAATAAGAATTTCCCTCCCATTTTTAATATATAAAATTCAGTAGATTCCAAAATTCTATTATTAAAAAGTCTTTTATGAATATATAATTTTAGTGCAATTTACATTAAATACCCCATCTGTTTCATGATGCTACAAAAATCTTCAAAATTCTGGGTAAAGAGGGCTATCATAATACCTGGGTTCCACTTAAGTTATCAGATCAACTAGCGAACCAGTGCACAGATTCATGCACCAATGGGGTCCCTCAGCCTGGCCTGGGGATCAGGCTGAAACCAGATCTCTGACATCCCCTGGATTGTGAGGGCGTAGGCCAGGTTAAGGGACCCCACCTGTGCACGATCGAAGCCAGAGAAGGATACAGGAGGTTGGCCAGCTGGGGAAGGCTCCAGGTTATGTTTGGCCCATCTCACTCAGTCCCGATAGGCCGGACCCTAGCAGTAAGCTAATCTACCAGTTGGAGTATCTACTCCCTGGTGGTCAGTGCATGCCATAGGGACTGGTCAACCAGTCACTGTCTCCCCCCTGGTGGTTGGTGCACTTCATAATGAGCAGCTGAGCAGCCTTAGCATGTCATTAGCATATTATGTTTTGATTGGTTGAACGGATGACTGGACACTTAGCATAAGTGACTGTTATGGTGGAATGACCAAAACAACTAGTCGCTATAATGTGCACTGACCACCACGGGGCAGATGCTCAATGCCAGAGTAGCCCCCTGGTGGATAGTGTGCTCCCACAGGGGGAACGCTGCTCAGCCAGAAGCTGGGCTCACAGCAAGAACAGTGGCAGTGGTGGGAGTCTCTTTCACCTCCATGGCAGTGCTAAGGAGCAGTGAGCAGGCGGGCATTATAAGCGAGTGGTCCCAGACTGAGAGAGGGTGCAGGATGGGCTGAGAACCCCCTCCCACAAGTACACAAATTTTGTGCACTGGGCCTCTAGTATAGGATAATTGAACAAAACTGGAAAATGCTGGTATTAGAAATGACACAGGAAAGAGGGACATCATGGGAATGGCAAGGAATGGTCTACAAACTATTTCTACCAGAAAAAAATTAAACTGCTTATTCACCTATTTGGGGTGATTGTAATCCTCCAGCAAACTTTGGCAATGTCTAGAGATACTGGTTGTCACAACTTGGGATGATGATATTGGCATTTAGAGAGTAGAGGCCAGAGTGGCTGCTGAACATCCTACTATATATATCTGATAGTCTCCCACAACGAAGAACTATCAGCCCAACATGTCAGTAGTAGCAAGGTTGAGAAACCCTAATTTAGAGACTGTACTGTGTACTTATAACACTTACCTCATAGTATTGTTATGAAACCTAAATATAAACATTTAGCATGGAAAGCTATGTACACACTACCCTGACACATATTATGTGCTCAATAGGCAATAGTTACTACTATTATCAGTATTACTACTGTTATCTACAATCACTGATTTTGGCTTTAGGAAAGCTGGAACAGATGCAATCCTATTTTACTTGCCCCAGTGTAAAAATATTAATAACTTTTAAGACATTGAAAGAAAGACTGTTTTTGAAGAATATAGCAAAAAAGTTTGAGTGTCTATGTAGACATAAGGTTTGTATAAACAAAATGTGGATGTACACTATCATTTGGGATTAAGAAAAATTAGTTCTAGATGTTTATTTACAGTAAGAACAATAGTAAAATATATACAAAATAGGACAAAGGTAAGTTTACAGTTGTCTGTTTTGAAAGTAATTAATACTACAAGATTAAACTCTGTTTCACGTACTTAGAACTATAAACCTACTTTTGTCTCACTGTGTATTTTTATTCTTTCTTCCCAAAGCAGAATTCCCAGGAATATAAATTGAATACTTTTTTATAGTTATTACAACAAAATATATTTTTAGTACCCACAATTTTTAAAGTCAGAACCATTCTATTTATAGCCAAGCACTTCCCTGCTATAATTTTCCTGAGATTAGCTAATATGACAGCAATAACTAAACATGGTTAGACACTGTAATATATATCTATATATATAAAAGCCTAATATGCAAAGTGTCCTCTTGGGAGTTCAATCAATTAGGAGTTTGATTGCATGCTATGACATACACTGACCACCAGGGATGGCGCGGAATGAAGAAAGGCCCCAGCCAGCAGCTGGTAGTCGGGGAAGGGAGGCCCTGGCTGGCAGCCGGCAGCGGCTAGGGACCCTACCTATGCACGAATTTTGTGCACTGAGCCTGTAGTTATAACTGTATTTCCTCCCCAGATACCATATTATTATATTTGTTATTTTTTCAGATTCCTTTTTATTCTTATACCAATAAGAAGTGTTTCTAAAGAAGTAAAATCTTTACTTATAAAAAAATAAGGTGGCACCATTCAATAGGATAGTGTTTTCTCCCCAGTTCTTAAAAATGCCAAAATTCTCAAATTAAGAGTCCCTCAATTGAATTCATAAAATCTGGAGGCAAAAATATAAAACTAGATATAATAAATGAATTTTACAGAAAAATGACTTTTGAAAATTTTTAAATGTATTTTTTATTCTTTTACTCAGGAAAAAAAAAAAGCTTATGACTTTAAAAGGTTGGAGAATTTAAGCAAACACTCAGTGGTTTTGGAAATGTAGTTTCCATGGCAACCAACATGGTCTTCTTTATATAGCATTTATAAACAGATGGTAAAGAGTAGTCATGTTTGTTTCTTTGCCAGTATATCAATAAAACTGCTATAACACTGTATTGAGTACACTAGAACTATTTAATAAATTTATATGCTAACCACAAAATTTGGTAATTTACACAGACAAATATAATTAACTAGTATCTGGGTGGCTTTTTTTTTTTTTTTTTTCCTCTTTATAATAAACACATGAAGGTCTTGAACAGCAAAGTCACTATACTCCATAGAGTCAACAGTCTTCCTTGGCAAGACTTTGTACAAATGTTTTCTCAGCACTTGCCATGCAGGGCATATCACCACAAATATGATTCTGACAAGAATATAATGGATTAAACTAATCAAAGTGGAACTATATCTGTGTGAGTGTGTGTGTGTGTATATATTTTTTTTCCATGGCCACCTTTTTTTCTTTCTAGGTGAACAGCAGCTTTATTAGTGAGGCTGGAGTCCTGACAGACTGCACTGCGGAATGCTCCCCAGCGCTAAGAGATTGTCGGGACAGGACAATGCTGTGAGCAAGGAAGACAGGTTAACACTGTGAGACAAATACTGCACACCACACCAGCTCTCAATGGGAAGTGGGTTTTCGGCCAAGGGGGTAACTTCTAAGTGATGGAGTGCTGGGCTGCTCTGAGCCCAGCAGAGGGAGGAGGCGTCTAGGGCCGAGGCTCCACCTGGCCCTGCCGCTTCGCCTTCATCTGCAGGTACCGCCCTTTGCCTTCCTCAAAGCGCTTCTTCTCTTCTTCAGTCTCAGGCACGAGCTGGGGCACCGGCAGCGACCTGCCGTCCTGGCTCAGGGACACGAAGTTGAAGAAGGCACTGGCGGCCCGGTAGGGCCGCTGCGTGCTGTGCAGCACAGGGTCGGCGTCCACCAGGACCTCGATCTCCAGGGACTTATTGCTCGTGAAGTTCATGCGCCCCGAGATGGTGATGACACTGCCTTTTCTGATCTTGTCGTGGAAGTTAATGGCATCCACAGAAGCGGTGACGATGTTGGTCTTGCAGTGCCGCGCGGCCACGATGCCCGCCACCTCGTCCATGAGCTTCATGGTGACACCTCCGTGCATGAAGCCATGCAGCGTGCAGTCTGAAGGCCCCGCCAGGTGGATCAAGCTGGACTGGCTGTAGCTGACCGTGTTCGGCCCTGGGTTCAGGCGGGGCTGGACGATGTCCTCGTGCCTCCACTTGGTCTCCCTGCGCTCCAGCTTCTGGGCCTCGTAGCGCCTGCGGCCCTCCTCCTCCTGCTCCTGCCGGGGGTACACAACCGGAGGCACCTCCAGGACCTTGTCCATGTTCTTCAGCAACAGGGGCACGTACCACAGGGTGGCCTTATTGGTCAGCTTTTTGGTACCCGTGAGGATGTTCTCAGACATCACGTGGACCTGCACCTCCACCGAGTGCTTGGAGGTGTAGGTGATCTCTGCGCTGACGTGCGCCACCTCGCCGATGCACATGGGCGACAGGAAGTCCGTGCGCTCCACCCGGGCCAGGACGGTCACACAGCGCTCCCCGTTCTGGCTGTTGCAGTGCCGGGTGCTGATGATGACCCCCGCCTCCTCGATCATCTTCAGGACGGTCCCTCCGTGCACGTTGCCGGCCACGTTGGCATCGTCGGGATGCATGATCCGGCAGATCTGGAGGGCGGATGGGGTCTCTCCGGTGGGGCCCGTAATGCTGGCAGTGGTGGTGGTGGCGGCGGTGGCGATGGGTGGCTTCAGGAGAGCGCAGGTGTCTGGCAGTCCCCTCCGGGAATGAATGAGCCTGGGTCGTGCCATGGAGAAGGAAGGAGGGGCCCATGACCACCTTTTCTTAAAAGAACAAGGGAGAAATAAAGAAGCACAAGAGTTTCTTTACAATAAACTATAGGTTATAAGCAAATGGCCAAACTGTCGTTTAAAAGTCAGATTCCATCCCATGTGCATAGTGGCTTTCAAAAATGCAGGTACTCTGAATTCTAATGGTTTAACTGTGGTAACTTGCTAGGTACTATTTGCTATAAAAACTAAATTAAGCCAACAAACTATAAATGCAATTATTTTGGCAGTAAAACTTGAACAGCCAACTCCTGCAGGTATGATCAACACATCTGAGGTAGGGCCCTGTATCAGGAGGCAGTCAGTTAGAAGGTGCTGTCTATGAGCCTGTGACCTGGAGGGGCATTGGTGATCCTTTTTTTTATTTTTATTTTTTATTGTATTTTTTGCTCTGTGCATTTTTCAAAAATATATTTTATTGATTTTTCACAGAGAGGAAGGGAAAAGGACAGAGAGCTAGAAACATCGATGAGAGAGAAACATTGACCAGCTGCCCCTTGCACAGTCCCTACTGAGGATGTGCCCGCAACCAAGGTACATGCCCTTGACCGGAATCGAACCTGGGACTTTTCAGTCTGCAGGCTGACTCTCTATCCACTGAGCCAAACCGGTTTCGGCATGATCCTTCTTAATAGGCCCATCGTAGAGGCCTTGACCTATTTCCCAAGCTGGATGAGGAATGTTTTTACTTTAAAACAAAAACCTTGAGACAGTATTTACTATTTTTAATTATATAAATGCCATTTTGATTACATTTATAAAACCACATTTCCCCCCTCTCATGCATCTATCCCTAAATTTGCTGATTTTTATCTTTTATAAATTCTTTCTATGCTTCCCATATCAAAGTAAGTTCACTGGAAGCGAGATATTTCGTTGTGCAAAATAATCCATGTTGGGATATATAGAAAAAGGGTATGCATATTTATGAAAGAGTGAATTTGGGTGATATAAAGTATATCATGGTTTAATTTAAAAATTTTCTGTTAAAACTGGTAGAGACTGTCCTAGATTTATATTTGACTCAAAACTGGGGGAAAAAATTTTAAATTATAGTCTGTTTCTTGGCTGAGCTACAGTGAACTCCACAATCTACCAAAAACTCTTGCCATAATACAGTTTTGGGGAATTATTTACACTGGGAGAACCTAGGAAAGAGCCTCTTGACTCATATGGGGCTGGAGAGTCTGCTATAAAATACCAAGGGATCCCTCAGAAGCCCTTTCAGAGGGCTTTAGTATGCCTTCTATACTCCTTGTAGTATAGGACAGCGTTTTTCAACCGCTGTTCCGCGGCACACTAGTGTGCCGGGAGATGTTGCCTGTTGTGCCGTAGGTGCAGACAAGACAAGAATTTTATAATTTTTCACTATTTTGTTTACTTAATATTTCATAATAAAGTAATTATAAAATACTTTCTTTGTGTTTATTTGATTCCTATTCAAGAGAATTACTTTATATATAGTCAATATAGGCACAGAGTTAAATTTTTTAACATTTTCTAATGGTGGTGTGCCTCGTGATTTTTTTCATGAAACAAGTGTGCCTTTGCCCAAAAAAGGTTGAAAAACACTGATATAGGAAACTAACAATGAAAGCCCCTAATTTAGCTTAACTTCTAAGAGCAGTTCTCAACTCTGGTGACAAAACAGAATCATACGAAAGACTTTAAATATAACAATACCCACATCCTAGAATATGCCAACTTAGGCAGAATCACAAGGGTTGGAATCCAGGCACAAGTATTTTAAAAATACTCATGTGTAATTCTAATGTATAGCTAGTATAAAAAAAAAAAAAAAAGAAAGAAAGGAAAGGAAAAGGAAAAGGAAAAGGAAAAGGAAAAGGAAAGGAAAGAAAAGAAAAAGAAAAACCCACCAGAAAGACTGTGATTCATGTTTTCTTTATCCCTGGTGAGAGAGAGGCCTCAAATCACCATCATCTTTTCAGGATACACTATTCAGTGTTAGGTTTCCTTTTCATTACAGAGGCACATGACCGAAGAAAAGGCCTTGTTTTATTTTTATACTAGGGGCTCAGTGCATAAATTCGTGCACTTTGAAAGGAACTGTAGGCTGCAAGGCTGCAGTGGGCACAGGGGCAGGTCTCAGCCCATCCTACGTGCTCCCTGGCCCCTCCCATCATGGCCCCCGGTCCCCTCTCTGCTGGCAGCCCTGCTCACACCTGCTGATGGTGCAGAGCAACTGGGCTGGTACCAGCAGCAGGTGCAAGCAGGGCCAGTGGTGTCAGTGGGTGGAGTGGCAGCTGCTACCCCAATTGCCCCTCAGGAGCAGGGGGAGGTGGAGAAGCTCTCAGAGGTGATTGGGGCTAGCAGCTGTTGCTCGCACCCACTGACAGCGCCAAGTGATCAGGACTGGCAATGGGTGTTGGCAGTGGGTGTGACTAGTGGCTCCAGCACCGGCTGCAGGTGCAAGAGGGGCCAGTGCCGGCAGCAGATGCGAGAGCCAGGTGGAACCATGGTGCCCAGGAACAAAGAATTTTCAATAACCACCAGAGGCTTGTCCGATGACAGCGAGTGGTGCCCTGCCTGGGTCTGGTGCTCCTGCTCACCTGGTCCACCATCCCACTGGAGCTGACTCCCACCATGTTTGGTGCTCCTGCTATCAACACCTACCATGTTCTGCACATGCACCCCTGGTGGTCAGAGCACATCACAAAGACTGGCTGTTTGGTCTATTAGCATATTAGAGTTTCATATATAGAGATTTTCAAGTTTTAAAAAATGTTATGGAATTTACTGGGGTGACACTGTTTAATAAAACTATTATAGAGGAATTCAACAAAATACAAGAGTGAGGTGTGAAATAGCTTTCCTAGTGAACTATTCCAGATAGTAAGTTTCATCTCTTACAAAGATTATTGCTATCAGGAAGATTTGTGGATAGTGAACTTATTTTCACTCCTTTTCATATGTACTTAGTGTTTGAGCTGGTTACCAAAATAAATGCTTTCTGGGTTTCCATGCACTTAACAGGTATTCTGAAAAAACTGACTTAAATGATGAGCAGTATAATTCTCACTTATTACTTCCCAGATATCATATTTTCATTTTTAAGAATGCCCTTTAAACTATCACCAACAGTAGTGAAAATTCAGGCACTTAAAGAAGGAAAAGCTGCAGGATAAAAAGGACACAATCCATCCTCTGTAGCCATATATAAAAAGAATTTTTAAAAACCTGCCAATACACTGTCCCCTAAAGAGAGCAGAAATGAATGTTATCTTGAGCCACATATCTATCCATAGCAAAATTATACCATGTAGAAAAATGCAAATATCTGGTAGATTGTGATAATAGTTCTTATGGCTTTCTCCTTTCAAATTATTTACATGAAGACCTAGGACTTTTTGCTTGATATTAAATAGCAAATATAAATAAATAATTATAAACTCTCCAAATTGTCAGCAATAGAGATTAGGGAAAAGAGAGTACAATTAAATAATTTCAAAGGATAAACCATGAGAACACAAGGGTCTTATAATTGATTTCTATATTTCTGTTTGTTTTCTTACATTTCCACAGACTACTAAAATTTCCACAAGTCATTTATTCTTTCCCTGTGAAACTTTATTTGACTATTTGTATCTCTAGTGCTATTAACCCATCATAATTTTAGATCAAATCCTCATAACATAATTGAGGTTTAATTCTAAAAAATTTCAAAACACACAAAAAACAGGAAAAAAAATCATCTTAATGCATTTGGGAAGAAACAACCTATTAAAGAGACTAAGTGTGTCTGGCAGAATTCTAGAGATGACAGAAAACAAGAGGAAACATTTCTTAATGTTATTTAAATATGTACACAGGAGACAAGGAGATGTGCTAGGACAGAGACTCAACAGGAACTCTAGTCTTCCTGCACATAAAATAGGGCTTCATTAACAATAAAGGAACAGATGTCTTGGGATCCATTTATACAGGCTATTAACTATTATGAGCTGCTGGTACCCAAATTTATTTTAGTACTAGGCGACTGATTAATAATAAATACAAATTGAAATTTCATCTATTAGCAAGAGAAAGCAATGCCTAGCTTTCCAAAGTCTAATTTAATACAAAGGTATTTTTCTATGGACCACGGAGGATACTGGAGTTCAGTATACAATATTTCCTATGTCCAAAAATAAAGACCTTCATATTAAATCTCATTCGGATGTAAAAAAATAAATAAATAAATAAAAATGAAAAATGGCCTTTGTCTTCACCTAACAAGACCAAACAGATTTTGTTTCCTAAGGACTAAATTTTTACTCAACTTAGACACAATGCAACAAATATGCACATCCATCTTCTGAAGGTTGGGGGAGGAAATCACACACACCAACTTACTGCCCTAAACCCAGTGCATTTCACCACATTTTATACTACTTATTTTAAAAAACTAGTGGCAATGATTATCCTCTGATAATTTTTACTGTCTCATCTCTAGTTACTGAATAATAAATTAAATAATTTGAACATTTATGAAAAGTCATCAGTATAACTTACTAAAATATTTAGAATGTTAGTTGGAACTGCAGCAGGGATATTGTATTTCAAAAATCCTTCCCCCCTCCCTTTTTTTTTTACAGAATAAGAACAAAAGGTAGAGTGAGGCTAAGTAATTTACCCAAGGAAACATAATAGCAATATTTACCACATAAATTTTCAAAATACTATTATACTAGTTTTACATATCATCCAAAGATGTGAAAATCCAATGTGTTAACTGTTGTTTGATGTTATTTCAAACAGCTATATTTACTTCATCTAGTTTTTTTTAAAAAATCATTTGGTTTATACACATGTATATTTTGATATTGGTATTATTTCCACTTATTCCAGAAGTATTAAGTTTTTTGTGACACATGCTATAGAGAATAAAGATGGTATAGCACGATCCACATTCACATGTATCTATAAAAAGCCACTGCAGAAATGAAATGGTGAAAAATCTGAGAGATTGATGAGCAAGCCAAGGATAGA